GAAAAACAGACAGAAAGACACACACACACAGAGTGAGAGAGAGAAGGAGGAAAAGGGTAGAAGAAAAAGAGAAAGAGAAAGAGAGAGAGAGAGAGAGAGAGAGAGAGAGAGAGAGAGAGAGAGAGAGAGAGAGAGAGAGAGAGAGAGAGAGAGAGAAGCTAACTGCGAGAGATGCAGATGCCTTTCGCCTGAATACCTGCTGCCTCATTGACCTCAATTTAAATCCGCCATTGGAGAAAGAAATAGAGTAGATAAGAAAGAGCAGAAGAATTTTGCGCATTTTCCCCAAACAAGCGTCCGAATACCAGGGCTTCGAGACGGCCGCTTATTCGCACACCCGACAGCTGAGGCTTCCCTCCGGCGGGAAAATACTTCCGGGTTCTTGGTTTACCAGTTAAGTTGCCTGAAGAGCTGTTGACTTTGGCAGCATTTACAAAATGTCTTTCTTAACGGTGCACTGGTCAAACAAGCGCGGTGCTTTTTTTTCTTTTCCTCTGTAGAAATATGTAAAAAATGTAGGGGTTCAGAATCCATTTTTCGAAGCTTCGATCGGGTCAGGGGGCGTTCGGTTCAAGTAGTAGATGTTTCGTTAAGTGCTTTGCTGGTTCGCCAATCTAGAAACAATATACGACGTCGCTGGTTTCAATAGCCGCTCAGAGTAACTAAATCATATTCTACAGTTTCTTTGATCGTAATAACAGTCAAGTCTTTATGAACAAAATTATAAAGCTTATCACTCTTATGGACTCTGTTTTATGGATGAAATTGTGTGTCTTCTTCAGCGGAGTGGACGCAACGCAGTAAAAGTGATCAGTACACTTAAAAGTATGTCATCGTAAACATTAAATCTTACATATGATATTCCATTGGCCTTTCACGCTATAAAACAAAGACGCCTAAAACATTACATTTCTTCTAAAAAAGATACATATTTAAACAAAGCTATTGGCACGTGTTCGGTCTTTGTGCAAAAAACAAAGAAGATGAAACAAAAGATCGTGTCTACGCATTTATGATACAGAAACAAAGGCGTAGAGACAATGCGTACCAACACGTGGCTTTTGAGATTATAAAACTATTTCACCGAAAAAAAAAAGAGGAAAAGACCAACAGGAAGCAAATTCTTCTCTCACGCCCCCAGAAATTCTTTGAGTGTTTTACTAAGTACTGAAGAATCTGATTTTCCAAATTAAGGAATTGGAAATATCGATAATGTTTATGGAAAGAGTAATGTTATTAAGGATAGTATCAGTGATAATGATGACAAGCAGCAATAGCGAAAGAAAAGAAGGTAATGATAATGCTGATGAGGCAAGTAATAAGAGTAAAATAGTGATAATGATGATAATGATAATAACAAACAGCACTAACAATATGAAAAAACAAGCACAAACACCTCTTTCAGATACCGGAATATGAAATCAACTAAACGGAAAATAGAAAAGAAGACCGAAGATTTTTAAAAGAATAAATAGAAAAATAAAGAGGCGTAGGAAGTTACTGAAGACAACAGTATGAGATCCCGGACACATCTCGTTGGCAAGTGGCGCCATCTGCCCGCCAGCGTTTGCCCAAAATTAGACAAAATACTCACGGGATCTGCCTTCGGTTCTTGGGGGCGACTTACCCTTCTTTTATATGTGTTTTTGTGCTTGTTTTTCGTAATGTTTTTTGTGTGACTTCGTTTTGTTTTGTTCTTTTTTTTAGCTGTCTTTATCGTTCTCTCTCTGTCTGTCTGTCTCTCTCTCTCTCTCTCTCTCTCTCTCTCTCTCTCTCTCTCTCTCTCTCTCTCTCTCTCTCTCTCTCTCTCTCTCTCTCCTTCTCTCTCCTTCTCTCTCCTTCTCTCTCCCTCCCCCCCCCCCCCTCTCTCTCTCTCTCTCTCTCTCTCTCTCTCTCTCTCTCTCTCTCTCTCTCTCTCTCTCTTATTCCTTTCTCTCATTAACTAAATGATATTACTAAAACTGTCAAAGATAAGAAACAGTTGGAAGTTAGAATATTTCATGAACAAAAATATTAAATATGCACTAGTTGCCTGTTTATGCACGTGTACATGTATCATTTCGTATAATCATATATCATTTTATTCACGTCAGATGATCTTTGAATTGAATACAGAATTTACATCTATAATGATAACATACACTAACGAAGAAGGAAGGAATGTAAGAAGGAAGGAATAAATAGAATCAGGGGAAATAACGAAAGAGGAAGAGAAATAATTGAAGTGACAATTCTCTCTCCTCACTCTTTCCAATTCTCTCTCCTCATTCTCTCTCCAGTTCTCTCCAATTCTCTTTCCTCATTCTCTCCAATTCTCTCTCCTCATTCTCTCTCCAGTTCTCTCCAATTCTCTTTCCTCATTCTCTCCAATTCTCTCTCCTCACAGCTGTTAACGAAATCGACCGATCTAGAACACTCACAAGAGAGAATCCGTGTGCGTTATTAAGATAAATCTAGCCGTGTAATCCTCTATCAAACGGCACTTGTAATCCCCTGTAAGTAGTATTAATCCCCAAATCTCTTGAAATCCCCTTCCTTAACTACAATAGTTTTTTTTTTTCAAAGAGGCAGAATCTGTACAGGGTAAACGGTGGTAAAAGTCTTTCGTTTGATTCTTTCTTTCTTTTCGTTTTTTGTTTTGTTATTTTTTTCTCATTTCTTCTTTTTTTATATCATTTTTTCGTCTCTTCCTCTCTTCCTTTTTTCTTCGATTTCTTATTTTCTCCTTCCTCTCTCATGTCTCTTCCTTTTCCCTCCTCGCATGTTCCTTTCCACTCTCCTCCCCTCTTCCCCCTTTCCCCTTCCCTCCTCTCCTCTTCCTCTACGTTCTTCCTTCCCTCTTCCCAGCTTCTTCCCCTCCCCTCTTTCTTCTTCCCCCCACCTTCCCCTTTCCTCCTTTCCCATTCCTTCCCCCACCGCCCTTCCCTTCCCCTCCTCATTTCCTCTTTCTCCTACCCCTTCCCCTCCCCTCCTCACTTCCTCCTTCTCCTCCACCTTTCCCTCCTTCCCCCCCTTTCCCTCTCCTTCGCCCTCCCCCTTTCCCTCCCTCCCTCCCTCCCTTTCCCTCTCCTTCGCCCTCCCCCTTTCCTTCCCTCCCCCCCCCTTTTCCCTCTCCTTCGCCCTCCCACTCAGAGTTAAATCCCCCGGAGTAACGAGGGAGTGATTCTTCAGAGAGTATGGGAAAACCCGGGGGCGAATGGGGGGTGGTGGTGGGGGGAGGGGGAGGCGGTACCAACATGGCGTAAGCTCTCTGTCGTTGGCACTTGGATAGTAAGGGGGGAGGGGGAGGAGGTATGAGGGGTGAGGGGGAGGGGGTATGAGGGGTGAGGGGAGGGGGGGTGAGTGGTGAGGGGAGGGGGGGTGAGTGGTGAGGGGGAGAGGGTATGAGGGGTGAGAGTGAGGGCTGAGTGGGTAAGGGGGGGAGTGGTGAGGGGGTATGAGGGTGAGGGTGAGGGGGTATGAGGGGGTGAGAGTGAGGGAGTGTGAGGGGTAGGAAGAGGGGAAAATAAGGGGGGGTAAGGGAAAGGGAAGGGGTAGAAATAACATTGGGTGAGACGATCTGGGGGAGGGAGAGGACGGGGGAGGGGTGGGGGAGGGAGTAGGGGAATGGGAGAGGGAGGGAGTCACACGTTAAGTGGAAGAGAAAGGAAGGTGAGGGGGAGGGGGGGGGGCGGGTTAGAGTGAAACGAGGCGCCTAAAAGCAGAGCCGAGGAAGAAGGGTGAAGCATGGGCAAGTAATTGGTGGTTATTTATGGCGGAGAATGGGTATCCGTTGGTAGCTGAAGGCATGCCGGAAGCGCTGAGACTGATCGCTTCTATAACGGGTGTGGTAGCGATGGTAGCATTGGTATCAGGCATTTTGACGGTCACTGTAACAGTTACTCTATCCCCCACAAATAAAATCACATTCAGGAAATATAAATAAAAAATAAAAATCACACCAGTTCTTCACCACAAAAAAATCCAACCTCTAGGAAATACCTCAGTAACCAGTAAAAAAAAAAAAAAAAAAACTCGCAAGCACGAGGGAACTGCGCTGGAGGATCATATACCCACGCATTTATGACACCCCCCCGCTCAGGCCCTCTATAAATAAGGATACTTTCCCCTCGAACTGATCATCAGGAGAGACAGGGGGATCGGAGGACGGTAAAGCTCCCTTAAGCCCTGGTATGCAGACGGCTGGACAGAAGCCAACAGGATGTGGGGGAAATGGTGATGTGAAGATGATGGAGCCGGCGATTAGGCTGCGCGGCGATAGGGAGATGGTGATGGAGATGAATGTGGGAAGTGGGGATGAGTGGAAGGGAGATGATTGGGTAGAGATGTGAGATGAATGGTGGTGAGTAGGTGAGAGGTGGGAGATGGTTGGTGATGGGTTAGTTGTGAGGTGTGAGAGGATTAGTGATGAGCTAATGCGAGATGTGAAATGATTGGTGGTGATTTGATGAGAGAAGTGAGGTAACTGGTGATGATTTGATGAGAGAATCGGTTCTAAAAGGCTTTACAAGAAGAGAGACTTTGGGAATCCCTGGTTCTTCCTATCCCGGATTCATCATCACTGGGGATTCTGCTTCACAAACGTTTCAGAGGTCAAATAAACGTTTATTTCGTCTTTTGGGCACGTTGAAGGCACGGCTGAATTCCTATACTTCCATGACCCTTATAGATACCCTCATACGTTCCTATATAACCACAAAGTCGATTTAAATGGTCTCCGAAACTCCTTGTTAAATGTCAATTAGACCTCTGAGCAATAATAATAATAATAATAATAATAATAATAATAATAATAATAATAAATAGATACAAAGAGATTCCCTCGCGAAGACCTGTGACTCACCCTTTCACTGACCCCTCCCGAGATCCTCTTACTCACACTGCCCTTCCTCACACTCCCCCTGACTCACCCACTGCCGGGACATCCCCCTGAAGACCAGGCGACTTCAGACACGCAGGACCCCCGTGTTTGACGTCGCCCCCCCCCCCTTTTTACTCACAACGCCCAGGTCCTCGAAGTCT